TCCAGTTCTGGAATTTGTGCAGTCCTCATTTGGTTACTTATAAATGGTCACATGAAAATAATGTGATTACATGTTCGAGCGACAAAACTACATGTGGTTACAAAACATGTGAATGTGATAGAAAAGCTGCTGAATGTTTTGCAAGAAACAAGTATGATGAAAAATATCAAAATTATAAACAAAACTTATGTTCATAAAAATCAAAGAAAGTTTCAAATGGTTGGTTATTCAATCAATGGCGAAGATAACAGTAAGCTAATCCGGTAATGGAAATAAGAGTTTGATTCACATTTTAAGATGCAATACAAATATAAATCAATAAAAATTGCTACTACAGATGAAAAACAATTATCTTTGCATTTGGATAACGTATGATTGCATTTAGACGACATTCGGAGAACTATATCGCGCATATTTTATCATATATCAACATACAGCTACAGCTTTCTCGTTACAATGAAATTCTAGTTTATTTTATACAAAAAACTATTGGTTACAGAAATTAAGAACAAAGAAAATAGAGATCATCAAATGTAAATTCAGTTACGAAGACTATATACAGATAACATTTTTAAAAAAAATATTTATTGAACTTGATACACACTTTATGTGAGATACGGCAAAATTTGAGCTTTTTGGTTTATTATGTTAAAACATAAAATCAATTTTTAACGAATCATAAATTTATTCTGATTTTGTTCGATTCATTGTTGCAGGAGTTTCATCACCATTAACTTCAATACCACTATCATGCTCAGATGTTAATTTCTAAACGAGATACAATCAACAATGGATTTATTATATGATCATTAAATTTTAAACGAGATCAATAATCGACATACATTTAAAACATTCGTCAAGTAATCATAATGTTCACTGAGAGAACGGAGAGAGTCATTTTCTTTACTTAATTCGTCAGTGATTTCATGAAGCTATGAGTAACAAAACAAGTTTTTTTAATGCACATAGTGAGATTAACTAGATGTTTTTAACCTGTTGATTTTCATTCAATTTGTCTTCAAGTGTGAGCCGATGTCGTTCAGCCATCACTTTCCAAAATGAATCTGGTGCATTTGCTTAAAAACAAACACAAAAATTGTATAACAATAATGATAATGAATATTTAGAGTTCATTTTTTCATTTTACCCTGAACGAATGATTTGAATTCTTCCTCAGTCATATGTAAACCATTATTAATTAAATCATCAACGTAATCTGGCGTGTTTGTTGAACAATCATGTTTTGATGGATTATGATCAGTGTTGACACCAATGCTTTGTTGTGAATTTATTCTAACAACAGTATTAAAATCATTTATCGGAGGATTATTTTCAATTGATTGTAATGATTTTGATGGTGATTCTTGATTCAAATGAGTTTTCTAAAACATTCATAAATATTCAATTTTTTTGTGATAATCAAAAGAAATTAACGTTACATTTTTGTCCAACTTTTTTGACGAGAACATGGAAATACTACGATTAGGTGTGTTGACTGATATTTGTCTAAGCGGCGTTTTAGCCATCAAACGATTATCTGAAATACGAATGTAAACATCTACAAACTCCCACGATATAATGACTTATCTGATGAGTGAATAGCGAATAACATAGTCATTTCCAAACTTTAAACGATTATTACTTATATTTAATCAAGCAGAGTGAAAAACAATACAAAACACGCGCTTGTCCTAAATTTTCATACGACTTTTTCGAGTTGTTCTCACTGTTTTTCTTTGTCTCGACTTTGATTGAGCAGCAATTGTTGTTGTCGCAGTTCAATATTATTAATCTTTTCTTCGCTGTGATTTCTTCATTACTGTCGCTTCTATTTTATTCAAGCTTCCATTATTTTTGCTATTATGTCATCTGAAACCTATCGAACAATGGAAGACCAAAGTTCATCGGTCTAATCTTAAGTAATAGCATAAAACTTGAGTATCTTTTTCCTCTTTTAAATTATCGGTGAAAGTATTGGATCAATGATAGACTAAACTAATGGGTGGTTCAGAATAAATGGGTCACTGAGTATTTTGCTCATATATCAATTGGATTTTATACCCTAAGCTTTATCGTTTTTCTTAAAAGATACACAATAAAATTCTCTACAAAAACTATAGTAAACATGTTGTTATATACTGCAAAGATAAAAGAATATAGAAGAGATACTGCGAAACTCTCGACTACTTGGCAACCCAAAAGAAAAAGAAAACAAATTTATTTTGAACACAGTACCATACGTCAGGGTGGAAGCAAAACGTAAGTTCTGATATTCCGGAGTGTCATCTTTCTTTTCCTTTATCAGAAGTTCGGTTTAAATGTGTGGAAAATTGTTGATTTCGGGGAAAATCGATAAAAGAAAAAAAAAACTCTCTCACAACCGATTATGGTTACGAAGAATTTTAAATATGACCACTTGATAGAGCTTTTTAAGAACTACCAGATATATAACAAAACGTTTAATATATTTTTTGTGGAGAATTTCATGGCGCATCTTTTAAGAAAACAATAAAGCTTAGGGAATAAAATCCAACTGATATATGAGCAAAATACTAAGTGATCTATTTATTCTGGATAACAAGTTGTATGGAACGCTAAAAAGTACTATCCCTTGTTCTTACTGACAACTAAGGTTATTAGTCAATGTAAGACAGATTGTCTTCAGCTGCATGAAATCCCTATTGCGAGAAGTCGTAATACCTCCATAAGCAAGCATGATACTAATCTTAAGTTGCTTCAACGCTTCCTTTTTTTTCTTTTCTTTTCTTTTTTTTCAACTTTATCTCTCATCTCTCCAGTCCAGTGGCACTGAAATCGGGTTACGCCATTGCATCTATGTCCAAAGGTACCGAGACAATGAGCATTAGATAGCTTGTCTAAGACTATCACGCGACCACCGTTGCCAGGATCCGAACTCCGTATGTTTGAAGCACGTTGTCTGCCCACTAACCGACAGAATCCTTTTGCTAAAAAGTTGAATGGCTTTATTTTGACGATACTGAGATAATATAAATAGTAATAAATTTATCATTTGGTGAAATAAAGCAATCGTTTTTCGAGAATAGGAACATGATTCAATTTGTATTGAGTAACTCACTTTTTCATTGATATAACTTTAAAAGTTAACGCCATGAATTATCAAACCCTTAATTTTTTGTGTAAATATCAGTGAATCGTTGATCCTCAATCTGTAATACAATGATCCCGTTAAACAATTAATTAGATAACAAAACACATACAAAAAAACCTGAATATAAATCTAACAATGAAAACAAAACACACAAGATAAATAAGTAGCAACGGAATAACTAAATAATCAAACTAAGAATACCAGAACGTGGCTCTAATCAAAGAGAGAAAAACTGGAAAGTAATTTTTTAAAACTCAATAAGACCGAACAACAAATAATCGAGTCTGGAAGAATATTTCAGTTGATGACTGAAGACAAAAGAAGAGTGCACTGTTTGAGGACAAAAAAACATTATTAAGAGAAAGAATATCAGCATGCTTAAAATGATAATAGTCTCCCTATAAAAAACATTCCAGTGCGGCACTGGCAGTGCGCACCGGTGCACATGGCATGCCATCGGTCACTGGCACTGGCTGCGCACCCGTGACCAACAAGTGCCGACTGGCATCCATGCGCACCTGTGCCGATATATTTCTGCCGAAAGAGTGCCGCACTGGTGAAAATCAGTGCCGCACGGATGCTGCACTGGCAAAAATCGGCGCCGCACTGGTAATTTATTTAATCAATTTAATTAGTTCTTTATTATGGTTGTTTATGCTGATTTTGTGTTAGAGTACAACACTGATCAGTACCACATTGACATGCCAAAACCATGCGGCATTGCCTCGGCACTTCTCTTATGAGAAGGAAAAAATGAAGTCAGAAAGACATTCGAAATATTAGAAGTAGATCGTAGCGTTAATATAGACAGAAATTGACAAAACAAA